AGGAAAATGCTGCTCCACCTGATCCTGTAACACTACCCATTCTGTCCACTGGATATCGACATGACGCTTGTGGAATATGTGAAAAGAAACCACGTAAACTTGTTGTCATTCCAGAACAGGCCCGGCTTGAGATGTTTGTACAACTTGGTGTGTTCATGAAAGAGGGTTCCAGATGTTGTCCTTCTCATATTTATGGCGGACACTTGACATCAGAGGCGTTGAGCTACGGAGTTTCCGAGAGAGTTAGAAAATGTACCTCACTCAGTAATGATAACTTAAGGAATCTTCTTGACAGTTTAAGAAACTATGCGAAGAAAAATGCATCCACTCGTCTGGATTTCGATAGCGAGACCTCTCTTTCTGACGAGGATTATCGCAACCTCACAGGACTCACACGGACGCAGTTCGATGATCTGATGCTTAATGTGGAGGATATTAAGGCATCCAAATCCAGAAGCATCCGCACCTGTGTTGCCATTTTGCTGATGAAACTGCGATGTGCTCTAGACAACAAAATGCTGGCTACCCTTTTCAATATGAAAAAGTGGCAGGTACGCTAAATTGACGCTTAAACACTGATCATTGGTGTTTAATTGTTCTTGTAAGAAGATAATAATTTTTTAAACATTTTAAAAGTTTAATTAAAAACTAGTTCCGTGAATAAATCTTTCTATTTTTTAAGGTACGCAGAGCCGTTTCCTCAGCGAGACGCTCCCTCATGAAGGACTTTGTGCCACATAACCTGGGATTTGGCCATATTTCTCGAGACGACGTCATACAAAAGCATACGAGGCCTCTAGCACAGGAATTGTTTTCCCCTCGTATGACAGAAACCCCAGCCTTGCTAGTGTTGGACGGAACCTACATATACATCCAGAAGTCTAACAATTTCACCTTTTCCAGACGTTCCTATAGCCTACATAAACATCGCCCTCTTGTAAAGCCCATGATGGTTGTCACGACATCCGGATACATTGTGTCCGTCCTAGGACCATATCTGGCGGATTCCAAAAACAATGACGCAGGTATTCTAACCCACATGATAGAAAGAAATGCTGAAGAGATGAGAAATTGGTTACAGGACGGAGACACATTTATAGTCGACCGTGGCTTCAGAGACAGCGCGGACGTTCTGGCGGACATCGGAATTAGAATGGAGATGCCAAGTTTTCTGAAAGGAGAAAAGCAACACTCCACTGAGGAGTCTAACAGTTCAAGAATGATTACCAAGGTATCTTTTTGATTAGATCATACGTTTAGTATTTTTATCTGAAAGTCAATCTAAGTTTTATTTCTGATGTATTCTTTTTGCAAAAAAAAATTGTTCATATCTTTTAAGGTGCGTTGGGTTGTGGAGTCCGCCAACGGACGAATAAAGCGTTGGAAATACCTTGACCGCACAGTATCCAATAATCAGATTCCATTCATAGCAGATTATGTGCGTATAGTAGCTGCAATTTCCAACAGATATTGTCCTCCATTGAGTTCTGGAACCGACGACGATCAAGCAATCGCATTGAAAATGCGTCATTTGTCACAGAAGGGAAATGAGCTCAGAGAGCTCGTGGAAAGCGAGGGTTGGGACAGGAGGCCTTCCCAGTGGAAAACCCTTGATGCAGATAGTGTTGCCTTAGATTTCCCTATTCTGTCGGAAGATGAGATTCGAAATATCACATTAGGAACCTATCAGGTCAAGATGGCCAGAGCATACACGCATGAACATTTCCAAGAAGACGGTGCGTATGATATTCTTATTGCAGAAGATAAACCAAACATCATTGGGGCAAAAATACAAAGTCGTCACGTGTCGGCCAAAAAATACCTTTGTTGGATTCGCTACAGTGAAGGAGTCATTATATCGTGGTACTGTAAATGTAAGGCTGGGTCCCGTGTTGTAGGGTGTTGTGCACACATTACCAGCGTGCTTTGGTATCTTTCCTTTGCGCGTCACCAGTCTAAACCTTTGAAAGGCGTTCGAAACTGGGCGGATCACCTTGAAGACGCTGCACGCGTTCTTGATGAATCGGACAGTGGTGCAGAGAGTCCGACGGAGGAATGAATGCAGATTTGAAATGATAAGCTGCTTTGAAATAAATTTTATCCTATTTGAAAGAGGATTAGTCAGTCTATTCCAATGTCTGCACTCATAAAATACATGAATTTAAATGAATTTCTCAAACTGCGAGGGGGATATTCATATGTTTTGTGAATTGATGATGCCCATAAATATCAATATTGTATCATTTACAATATTCACAGTAAATTTCAGCATAAATTTTAATTTAAAACTATTTACATCTACATTTATTGAAAAAATGAGAGCTAGAGCAAAAATTTTGGCATTTTTTCACCATGTGCAGTCCCCATTGTGAGCCCCAATTTACCCAAACCCTCTAATTTTTAAACAAATAGTAAAAACTAACTAAAATATGTTCTCATTGCCAAAAAAATAGGAACTGATTGATTATTTGGCTGTAATCAATGTTTATCCATGAAATAATACCTATTCTATAGGACAAACACCACCAAATGTTTTCCCATAGACTTCCATACAAACTTGAGCCCCTGTCACTCATACATATATTGAATTTTGGGCAAATGACCTTTTTGCCGTGAAAGTTCGAGATATTGGAAAACAAAACATGCCAGAAAAAATATACCGTCACGCGGCACTTTTACTTTCAATTTCCATTTGTTTACAACAAGGTGCGTTTGACACCAAATGAAAATCTCTAACCAAAGGGCACCCCTCCCTTCAAATTTTTACCTGTAACTCCTATATATCTCAAAGAATCCCAAGTCTTGCTATGAGATTTTTATCAACTTTATTTCACTAGTCAGATACATAACAAGTCTTTTCTCTTATTGACCAACCATGCGCCAGCTAGCATTTTCTCCTCCGCACAACTTTGGGTGTCCAAAATGTCTGCGCCCATGTATTTGTTTATGTAGGGGTTTTTCCTATAGAGTAAAAGAAACATTTATAAAAAGTGGTCAATTTAGTATATTTAGAACACATATCCATTGGTTATCTCACCTCTTGAAAATTGGGACTGTCAGTCCTAGCTTAAGTACACCATTGGCTGTTACATTTCACACCCCCGTCAATCAGACCCACATCTGTGAAACAGAAAAGATGTCTATAAATTGAAGCATTTTTCTATTTTTCTTTCAAACTTTTGAAATAAAATGATTAATCTAGCATATGTTTTGCTTGTTTTTCTTATTATCTCTAAAAAATTCTCAAGATAGGTCATGTTTATCATTCAGGGTAGCAGGTACCCGTTATTAATGAAAAATGAAGAAAATCAGCAGTTTTTTGTATGAAAATACTGAGTTATGGAAAGAGGGAAAACTAATGTAGATAAAATAATCAATGGAAAGAAAGAGAATTATATCTAGTTCAAATGTACATAAGATTACTTGGAATTTTATCAGCAACGGGTTGCTGGCATCAGAGAATCAAATACATCCCCACTGAAAATTTTGTAATTTTGAAGGGGGTGACCTACATTTTAGCCAATTTCCATGAACATTTTATGTAATTGGTGTTAAATATGTATATTCTCATAAAAGGCAAACATATTTATTTGCATATCATTTATTATTATTGACATAATTAATAAATTGATTAAATGCCAAGGGCAGATAAATCATATTGTCCGACTGAATACTGCTCAATTGTAAGCAAAGTGCTTAAATAACTGCAGTTCTGAAGAAATTTATTTTCTAATAATCTATAAAAAGTTCTAAATAAATTAATTATTAAGAGATTAACTAGATTTTCTAAGAAAACCATACCTTGGAACTCTTAATGGAAGCAAAGGGATCATCCTCAGAGTGTCCATGTGTTGTTCATTGTAAGGGGGGAGGGTTCATTAATCTCCTCCATCTTAAGAATGCATTGCTGAAATACATTTTATTTTATTAAAACATACTGATAAATGCATGTAGTAGCTTATATTGTATTTTTTTATTATTTACATCATCTTTTGAATTTTTTTATAAGCATTTGTGCTGAAATAGCTTTAAACTAATCATGTTTAAATACAATTTACTCAGATAATTATTTAAAAAGTATCTAAGAAATTGGAAAAATAACTGCAGATAAGAATGACTCTTAGTTGTTCAAATAAACCACATTTAAAAAAAATCCTTCATTTTCAAGCATCATTAGAGTACAAAATTACCCCCCCCCCCTTCTTTTCTGCAGAAATCAAGATTAGATATGGCAAGGAGGAGGGATATTCAGACACTTTTTTCATCATTTTTTCAATAATAATTTTGCAAATTTCTTGTTTTTTCAATGTATTTTCTGCTAAAATATATTTTACAGTATTTTAATTTAAATTTCCTACTAGTAATCTCTAAGTTTCACCAAAAGTATAACTTTTATATCAAGCCAGCACTGATTACATGACTAAAATTGGCTTTGCTGCTGGATTAGGCCCCTTGTTTAAAATCAAAGTAACCTAATTATTTAACAGAAGTCTAATTTTGTTATAAGTTATACAATCAACTCTGATTAACACAAATTTGAAAGAGGATTAGTCAGTCTATTCCAATGTCTGCACTCATAAAATACATGAATTTAAATGAATTTCTCAAACTGCGAGGGGGATATTCATATGTTTTGTGAATTGATGATGCCCATAAATATCAATATTGTATCATTTACAATATTCACAGTAAATTTCAGCATAAATTTTAATTTAAAACTATTTACATCTACATTTATTGAAAAAATGAGAGCTAGAGCAAAAATTTTGGCATTTTTTCACCATGTGCAGTCCCCATTGTGAGCCCCAATTTACCCAAACCCTCTAATTTTTAAACAAATAGTAAAAACTAACTAAAATATGTTCTCATTGCCAAAAAAATAGGAACTGATTGATTATTTGGCTGTAATCAATGTTTATCCATGAAATAATACCTATTCTATAGGACAAACACCACCAAATGTTTTCCCATAGACTTCCATACAAACTTGAGCCCCTGTCACTCATACATATATTGAATTTTGGGCAAATGACCTTTTTGCCGTGAAAGTTCGAGATATTGGAAAACAAAACATGCCAGAAAAAATATACCGTCACGCGGCACTTTTACTTTCAATTTCCATTTGTTTACAACAAGGTGCGTTTGACACCAAATGAAAATCTCTAACCAAAGGGCACCCCTCCCTTCAAATTTTTACCTGTAACTCCTATATATCTCAAAGAATCCCAAGTCTTGCTATGAGATTTTTATCAACTTTATTTCACTAGTCAGATACATAACAAGTCTTTTCTCTTATTGACCAACCATGCGCCAGCTAGCATTTTCTCCTCCGCACAACTTTGGGTGTCCAAAATGTCTGCGCCCATGTATTTGTTTATGTAGGGGTTTTTCCTATAGAGTAAAAGAAACATTTATAAAAAGTGGTCAATTTAGTATATTTAGAACACATATCCATTGGTTATCTCACCTCTTGAAAATTGGGACTGTCAGTCCTAGCTTAAGTACACCATTGGCTGTTACATTTCACACCCCCGTCAATCAGACCCACATCTGTGAAACAGAAAAGATGTCTATAAATTGAAGCATTTTTCTATTTTTCTTTCAAACTTTTGAAATAAAATGATTAATCTAGCATATGTTTTGCTTGTTTTTCTTATTATCTCTAAAAAATTCTCAAGATAGGTCATGTTTATCATTCAGGGTAGCAGGTACCCGTTATTAATGAAAAATGAAGAAAATCAGCAGTTTTTTGTATGAAAATACTGAGTTATGGAAAGAGGGAAAACTAATGTAGATAAAATAATCAATGGAAAGAAAGAGAATTATATCTAGTTCAAATGTACATAAGATTACTTGGAATTTTATCAGCAACGGGTTGCTGGCATCAGAGAATCAAATACATCCCCACTGAAAATTTTGTAATTTTGAAGGGGGTGACCTACATTTTAGCCAATTTCCATGAACATTTTATGTAATTGGTGTTAAATATGTATATTCTCATAAAAGGCAAACATATTTATTTGCATATCATTTATTATTATTGACATAATTAATAAATTGATTAAATGCCAAGGGCAGATAAATCATATTGTCCGACTGAATACTGCTCAATTGTAAGCAAAGTGCTTAAATAACTGCAGTTCTGAAGAAATTTATTTTCTAATAATCTATAAAAAGTTCTAAATAAATTAATTATTAAGAGATTAACTAGATTTTCTAAGAAAACCATACCTTGGAACTCTTAATGGAAGCAAAGGGATCATCCTCAGAGTGTCCATGTGTTGTTCATTGTAAGGGGGGAGGGTTCATTAATCTCCTCCATCTTAAGAATGCATTGCTGAAATACATTTTATTTTATTAAAACATACTGATAAATGCATGTAGTAGCTTATATTGTATTTTTTTATTATTTACATCATCTTTTGAATTTTTTTATAAGCATTTGTGCTGAAATAGCTTTAAACTAATCATGTTTAAATACAATTTACTCAGATAATTATTTAAAAAGTATCTAAGAAATTGGAAAAATAACTGCAGATAAGAATGACTCTTAGTTGTTCAAATAAACCACATTTAAAAAAAATCCTTCATTTTCAAGCATCATTAGAGTACAAAATTACCCCCCCCCCCCTCTTTTCTGCAGAAATCAAGATTAGATATGGCAAGGAGGAGGGATATTCAGACACTTTTTTCATCATTTTTTCAATAATAATTTTGCAAATTTCTTGTTTTTTCAATGTATTTTCTGCTAAAATATATTTTACAGTATTTTAATTTAAATTTCCTACTAGTAATCTCTAAGTTTCACCAAAAGTATAACTTTTATATCAAGCCAGCACTGATTACATGACTAAAATTGGCTTTGCTGCTGGATTAGGCCCCTTGTTTAAAATCAAAGTAACCTAATTATTTAACAGAAGTCTAATTTTGTTATAAGTTATACAATCAACTCTGATTAACACAAATTTGAAAGAGGATTAGTCAGTCTATTCCAATGTCTGCACTCATAAAATACATGAATTTAAATGAATTTCTCAAACTGCGAGGGGGATATTCATATGTTTTGTGAATTGATGATGCCCATAAATATCAATATTGTATCATTTACAATATTCACAGTAAATTTCAGCATAAATTTTAATTTAAAACTATTTACATCTACATTTATTGAAAAAATGAGAGCTAGAGCAAAAATTTTGGCATTTTTTCACCATGTGCAGTCCCCATTGTGAGCCCCAATTTACCCAAACCCTCTAATTTTTAAACAAATAGTAAAAACTAACTAAAATATGTTCTCATTGCCAAAAAAATAGGAACTGATTGATTATTTGGCTGTAATCAATGTTTATCCATGAAATAATACCTATTCTATAGGACAAACACCACCAAATGTTTTCCCATAGACTTCCATACAAACTTGAGCCCCTGTCACTCATACATATATTGAATTTTGGGCAAATGACCTTTTTGCCGTGAAAGTTCGAGATATTGGAAAACAAAACATGCCAGAAAAAATATACCGTCACGCGGCACTTTTACTTTCAATTTCCATTTGTTTACAACAAGGTGCGTTTGACACCAAATGAAAATCTCTAACCAAAGGGCACCCCTCCCTTCAAATTTTTACCTGTAACTCCTATATATCTCAAAGAATCCCAAGTCTTGCTATGAGATTTTTATCAACTTTATTTCACTAGTCAGATACATAACAAGTCTTTTCTCTTATTGACCAACCATGCGCCAGCTAGCATTTTCTCCTCCGCACAACTTTGGGTGTCCAAAATGTCTGCGCCCATGTATTTGTTTATGTAGGGGTTTTTCCTATAGAGTAAAAGAAACATTTATAAAAAGTGGTCAATTTAGTATATTTAGAACACATATCCATTGGTTATCTCACCTCTTGAAAATTGGGACTGTCAGTCCTAGCTTAAGTACACCATTGGCTGTTACATTTCACACCCCCGTCAATCAGACCCACATCTGTGAAACAGAAAAGATGTCTATAAATTGAAGCATTTTTCTATTTTTCTTTCAAACTTTTGAAATAAAATGATTAATCTAGCATATGTTTTGCTTGTTTTTCTTATTATCTCTAAAAAATTCTCAAGATAGGTCATGTTTATCATTCAGGGTAGCAGGTACCCGTTATTAATGAAAAATGAAGAAAATCAGCAGTTTTTTGTATGAAAATACTGAGTTATGGAAAGAGGGAAAACTAATGTAGATAAAATAATCAATGGAAAGAAAGAGAATTATATCTAGTTCAAATGTACATAAGATTACTTGGAATTTTATCAGCAACGGGTTGCTGGCATCAGAGAATCAAATACATCCCCACTGAAAATTTTGTAATTTTGAAGGGGGTGACCTACATTTTAGCCAATTTCCATGAACATTTTATGTAATTGGTGTTAAATATGTATATTCTCATAAAAGGCAAACATATTTATTTGCATATCATTTATTATTATTGACATAATTAATAAATTGATTAAATGCCAAGGGCAGATAAATCATATTGTCCGACTGAATACTGCTCAATTGTAAGCAAAGTGCTTAAATAACTGCAGTTCTGAAGAAATTTATTTTCTAATAATCTATAAAAAGTTCTAAATAAATTAATTATTAAGAGATTAACTAGATTTTCTAAGAAAACCATACCTTGGAACTCTTAATGGAAGCAAAGGGATCATCCTCAGAGTGTCCATGTGTTGTTCATTGTAAGGGGGGAGGGTTCATTAATCTCCTCCATCTTAAGAATGCATTGCTGAAATACATTTTATTTTATTAAAACATACTGATAAATGCATGTAGTAGCTTATATTGTATTTTTTTATTATTTACATCATCTTTTGAATTTTTTTATAAGCATTTGTGCTGAAATAGCTTTAAACTAATCATGTTTAAATACAATTTACTCAGATAATTATTTAAAAGTATCTAAGAAATTGGAAAAATAACTGCAGATAAGAATGACTCTTAGTTGTTCAAATAAACCACATTTAAAAAAAATCCTTCATTTTCAAGCATCATTAGAGTACAAAATTACCCCCCCCCCCTTCTTTTCTGCAGAAATCAAGATTAGATATGGCAAGGAGGAGGGATATTCAGACACTTTTTTCATCATTTTTTCAATAATAATTTTGCAAATTTCTTGTTTTTTCAATGTATTTTCTGCTAAAATATATTTTACAGTATTTTAATTTAAATTTCCTACTAGTAATCTCTAAGTTTCACCAAAAGTATAACTTTTATATCAAGCCAGCACTGATTACATGACTAAAATTGGCTTTGCTGCTGGATTAGGCCCCTTGTTTAAAATCAAAGTAACCTAATTATTTAACAGAAGTCTAATTTTGTTATAAGTTATACAATCAACTCTGATTAACACAAATTTGAAAGAGGATTAGTCAGTCTATTCCAATGTCTGCACTCATAAAATACATGAATTTAAATGAATTTCTCAAACTGCGAGGGGGATATTCATATGTTTTGTGAATTGATGATGCCCATAAATATCAATATTGTATCATTTACAATATTCACAGTAAATTTCAGCATAAATTTTAATTTAAAACTATTTACATCTACATTTATTGAAAAAATGAGAGCTAGAGCAAAAATTTTGGCATTTTTTCACCATGTGCAGTCCCCATTGTGAGCCCCAATTTACCCAAACCCTCTAATTTTTAAACAAATAGTAAAAACTAACTAAAATATGTTCTCATTGCCAAAAAAATAGGAACTGATTGATTATTTGGCTGTAATCAATGTTTATCCATGAAATAATACCTATTCTATAGGACAAACACCACCAAATGTTTTTCCCATAGACTTCCATACAAACTTGAGCCCCTGTCACTCATACATATATTGAATTTTGGGCAAATGACCTTTTTGCCGTGAAAGTTCGAGATATTGGAAAACAAAACATGCCAGAAAAAATATACCGTCACGCGGCACTTTTACTTTCAATTTCCATTTGTTTACAACAAGGTGCGTTTGACACCAAATGAAAATCTCTAACCAAAGGGCACCCCTCCCTTCAAATTTTTACCTGTAACTCCTATATATCTCAAAGAATCCCAAGTCTTGCTATGAGATTTTTATCAGATTTTTATATTTATTTCACTAGTCAGATACATAACAAGTCTTTTCTCTTATTGACCAACCATGCGCCAGCTAGCATTTTCTCCTCCGCACAACTTTGGGTGTCCAAAATGTCTGCGCCCATGTATTTGTTTATGTAGGGGTTTTTCCTATAGAGTAAAAGAAACATTTATAAAAAGTGGTCAATTTAGTATATTTAGAACACATATCCATTGGTTATCTCACCTCTTGAAAATTGGGACTGTCAGTCCTAGCTTAAGTACACCATTGGCTGTTACATTTCACACCCCCGTCAATCAGACCCACATCTGTGAAACAGAAAAGATGTCTATAAATTGAAGCATTTTTCTATTTTTCTTTCAAACTTTTGAAATAAAATGATTAATCTAGCATATGTTTTGCTTGTTTTGCTTTTATTATCTCTAAAAAATTCTCAAGATAGGTCATGTTTATCATTCAGGGTAGCAGGTACCCGTTATTAATGAAAAATGAAGAAAATCAGCAGTTTTTTGTATGAAAATACTGAGTTATGGAAAGAGGGAAAACTAATGTAGATAAAATAATCAATGGAAAGAAAGAGAATTATATCTAGTTCAAATGTACATAAGATTACTTGGAATTTTATCAGCAACGGGTTGCTGGCATCAGAGAATCAAATACATCCCCACTGAAAATTTTGTAATTTTGAAGGGGGTGACCTACATTTTAGCCAATTTCCATGAACATTTTATGTAATTGGTGTTAAATATGTATATTCTCATAAAAGGCAAACATATTTATTTGCATATCATTTATTATTATTGACATAATTAATAAATTGATTAAATGCCAAGGGCAGATAAATCATATTGTCCGACTGAATACTGCTCAATTGTAAGCAAAGTGCTTAAATAACTGCAGTTCTGAAGAAATTTATTTTCTAATAATCTATAAAAAGTTCTAAATAAATTAATTATTAAGAGATTAACTAGATTTTCTAAGAAAACCATACCTTGGAACTCTTAATGGAAGCAAAGGGATCATCCTCAGAGTGTCCATGTGTTGTTCATTGTAAGGGGGGAGGGTTCATTAATCTCCTCCATCTTAAGAATGCATTGCTGAAATACATTTTATTTTATTAAAACATACTGATAAATGCATGTAGTAGCTTATATTGTATTTTTTTATTATTTACATCATCTTTTGAATTTTTTTATAAGCATTTGTGCTGAAATAGTTAAACTAATCATGTTTAAATACAATTTACTCAGATAATTATTTAAAAAGTATCTAAGAAATTGGAAAAATAACTGCAGATAAGAATGACTCTTAGTTGTTCAAATAAACCACATTTAAAAAAAATCCTTCATTTTCAAGCATCATTAGAGTACAAAATTACCCCCCCCCCTTCTTTTCTGCAGAAATCAAGATTAGATATGGCAAGGAGGAGGGATATTCAGACACTTTTTTCATCATTTTTTCAATAATAATTTTGCAAATTTCTTGTTTTTTCAATGTATTTTCTGCTAAAATATATTTTACAGTATTTTAATTTAAATTTCCTACTAGTAATCTCTAAGTTTCACCAAAAGTATAACTTTTATATCAAGCCAGCACTGATTACATGACTAAAATTGGCTTTGCTGCTGGATTAGGCCCCTTGTTTAAAATCAAAGTAACCTAATTATTTAACAGAAGTCTAATTTTGTTATAAGTTATACAATCAACTCTGATTAACACAAATTTGAAAGAGGATTAGTCAGTCTATTCCAATGTCTGCACTCATAAAATACATGAATTTAAATGAATTTCTCAAACTGCGAGGGGGATATTCATATGTTTTGTGAATTGATGATGCCCATAAATATCAATATTGTATCATTTACAATATTCACAGTAAATTTCAGCATAAATTTTAATTTAAAACTATTTACATCTACATTTATTGAAAAAATGAGAGCTAGAGCAAAAATTTTGGCATTTTTTCACCATGTGCAGTCCCCATTGTGAGCCCCAATTTACCCAAACCCTCTAATTTTTAAACAAATAGTAAAAACTAACTAAAATATGTTCTCATTGCCAAAAAAATAGGAACTGATTGATTATTTGGCTGTAATCAATGTTTATCCATGAAATAATACCTATTCTATAGGACAAACACCACCAAATGTTTTCCCATAGACTTCATATACAAACTTGAGCCCCTGTCACTCATACATATATTGAATTTTGGGCAAATGACCTTTTTGCCGTGAAAGTTCGAGATATTGGAAAACAAAACATGCCAGAAAAAATATACCGTCACGCGGCACTTTTACTTTCAATTTCCATTTGTTTACAACAAGGTGCGTTTGACACCAAATGAAAATCTCTAACCAAAGGGCACCCCTCCCTTCAAATTTTTACCTGTAACTCCTATATATCTCAAAGAATCCCAAGTCTTGCTATGAGATTTTTATCAACTTTATTTCACTAGTCAGATACATAACAAGTCTTTTCTCTTATTGACCAACCATGCGCCAGCTAGCATTTTCTCCTCCGCACAACTTTGGGTGTCCAAAATGTCTGCGCCCATGTATTTGTTTATGTAGGGGTTTTTCCTATAGAGTAAAAGAAACATTTATAAAAAGTGGTCAATTTAGTATATTTAGAACACATATCCATTGGTTATCTCACCTCTTGAAAATTGGGACTGTCAGTCCTAGCTTAAGTACACCATTGGCTGTTACATTTCACACCCCCGTCAATCAGACCCACATCTGTGAAACAGAAAAGATGTCTATAAATTGAAGCATTTTTCTATTTTTCTTTCAAACTTTTGAAATAAAATGATTAATCTAGCATATGTTTTGCTTGTTTTTCTTATTATCTCTAAAAAATTCTCAAGATAGGTCATGTTTATCATTCAGGGTAGCAGGTACCCGTTATTAATGAAAAATGAAGAAAATCAGCAGTTTTTTGTATGAAAATACTGAGTTATGGAAAGAGGGAAAACTAATGTAGATAAAATAATCAATGGAAAGAAAGAGAATTATATCTAGTTCAAATGTACATAAGATTACTTGGAATTTTATCAGCAACGGGTTGCTGGCATCAGAGAATCAAATACATCCCCACTGAAAATTTTGTAATTTTGAAGGGGGTGACCTACATTTTAGCCAATTTCCATGAACATTTTATGTAATTGGTGTTAAATATGTATATTCTCATAAAAGGCAAACATATTTATTTGCATATCATTTATTATTATTGACATAATTAATAAATTGATTAAATGCCAAGGGCAGATAAATCATATTGTCCGACTGAATACTGCTCAATTGTAAGCAAAGTGCTTAAATAACTGCAGTTCTGAAGAAATTTATTTTCTAATAATCTATAAAAAGTTCTAAATAAATTAATTATTAAGAGATTAACTAGATTTTCTAAGAAAACCATACCTTGGAACTCTTAATGGAAGCAAAGGGATCATCCTCAGAGTGTCCATGTGTTGTTCATTGTAAGGGGGGAGGGTTCATTAATCTCCTCCATCTTAAGAATGCATTGCTGAAATACATTTTATTTTATTAAAACATACTGATAAATGCATGTAGTAGCTTATATTGTATTTTTTTATTATTTACATCATCTTTTGAATTTTTTTATAAGCATTTGTGCTGAAATAGCTTTAAACTAATCATGTTTAATACAATTTACTCAGATAATTATTTAAAAAGTATCTAAGAAATTGGAAAAATAACTGCAGATAAGAATGACTCTTAGTTGTTCAAATAAACCACATTTAAAAAAAATCCTTCATTTTCAAGCATCATTAGAGTACAAAATTACCCCCCCCCCTTCTTTTCTGCAGAAATCAAGATTAGATATGGCAAGGAGGAGGGATATTCAGACACTTTTTTCATCATTTTTTCAATAATAATTTTGCAAATTTCTTGTTTTTTCAATGTATTTTCTGCTAAAATATATTTTACAGTATTTTAATTTAAATTTCCTACTAGTAATCTCTAAGTTTCACCAAAAGTATAACTTTTATATCAAGCCAGCACTGATTACATGACTAAAATTGGCTTTGCTGCTGGATTAGGCCCCTTGTTTAAAATCAAAGTAACCTAATTATTTAACAGAAGTCTAATTTTGTTATAAGTTATACAATCAACTCTGATTAACACAAATTTGAAAGAGGATTAGTCAGTCTATTCCAATGTCTGCACTCATAAAATACATGAATTTAAATGAATTTCTCAAACTGCGAGGGGGATATTCATATGTTTTGTGAATTGATGATGCCCATAAATATCAATATTGTATCATTTACAATATTCACAGTAAATTTCAGCATAAATTTTAATTTAAAACTATTTACATCTACATTTATTGAAAAAATGAGAGCTAGAGCAAAAATTTTGGCATTTTTTCACCATGTGCAGTCCCCATTGTGAGCCCCAATTTACCCAAACCCTCTAATTTTTAAACAAATAGTAAAAACTAACTAAAATATGTTCTCATTGCCAAAAAAATAGGAACTGATTGATTATTTGGCTGTAATCAATGTTTATCCATGAAATAATACCTATTCTATAGGACAAACACCACCAAATGTTTTCCCATAGACTTCCATACAAACTTGAGCCCCTGTCACTCATACATATATTGAATTTTGGGCAAATGACCTTTTTGCCGTGAAAGTTCGAGATATTGGAAAACAAAACATGCCAGAAAAAATATACCGTCACGCGGCACTTTTACTTTCAATTTCCATTTGTTTACAACAAGGTGCGTTTGACACCAAATGAAAATCTCTAACCAAAGGGCACCCCTCCCTTCAAATTTTTACCTGTAACTCCTATATATCTCAAAGAATCCCAAGTCTTGCTATGAGATTTTTATCAACTTTATTTCACTAGTCAGATACATAACAAGTCTTTTCTCTTATTGACCAACCATGCGCCAGCTAGCATTTTCTCCTCCGCACAACTTTGGGTGTCCAAAATGTCTGCGCCCATGTATTTGTTTATGTAGGGGTTTTTCCTATAGAGTAAAAGAAACATTTATAAAAAGTGGTCAATTTAGTATATTTAGAACACATATCCATTGGTTATCTCACCTCTTGAAAATTGGGACTGTCAGTCCTAGCTTAAGTACACCATTGGCTGTTACATTTCACACCCCCGTCAATCAGACCCACATCTGTGAAACAGAAAAGATGTCTATAAATTGAAGCATTTTTCTATTTTTCTTTCAAACTTTTGAAATAAAATGATTAATCTAGCATATGTTTTGCTTGTTTTTCTTATTATCTCTAAAAAATTCTCAAGATAGGTCATGTTTATCATTCAGGGTAGCAGGTACCCGTTATTAATGAAAAATGAAGAAAATCAGCAGTTTTTTGTATGAAAATACTGAGTTATGGAAAGAGGGAAAACTAATGTAGATAAAATAATCAATGGAAAGAAAGAGAATTATATCTAGTTCAAATGTACATAAGATTACTTGGAATTTTATCAGCAACGGGTTGCTGGCATCAGAGAATCAAATACATCCCCACTGAAAATTTTGTAATTTTGAAGGGGGTGACCTACATTTTAGCCAATTTCCATGAACATTTTATGTAATTGGTGTTAAATATGTATATTCTCATAAAAGGCAAACATATTTATTTGCATATCATTTATTATTATTGACATAA